TGCTGATCTCTCCACCATGTCCCTCATAACTATCAAGTCCAATGCCGCTTCCCAGGCTGAGTAGGGTGACCACCGCTGAAGAGCCTGGTACTTAGGTGTGAGTACTGCCTTCTCTGTTGTTACCATGAATAGCTCTAACTCATGCTGCAGATGTACTCTTATGCTTACTGTTTATGCTGCCGAAGTTGTGATGAGTATATGACTATGAGAGGGAGGTGTAGCATACCAACATGTACCTAACATAATATATGTTTAAATATATGTTTTCCCTCATTAACATCTATGGTGCGATTGTGTGCGCCGCGCCCCCGAAAGTGGTAACAATCTACTCGCACCTACAAACAAGCTACTGCCATACTGCGGTGAACTACTGAGCAAAGGCGGGTAGCTACTGGTGCCACGGAGGCGCAGCGAGAGCCACAGAGGGCTGCCGAATCGGGTACCATTCTACCAGTCTACCAGAACCCCGCAGCACCCGAAGCGCTGTGTGGCGCTGGCGTTTTTCCCTGATGCAAAATCTGAGCGGAAGAACGTCAGTGATCCTGTCCGTGGAAGCTCGTTGAGTGCGAGTTGGACGGTCTTACTCCAACGGGCCAAATCTTGTCCATAGGTGAGGACCGCCAACGGGATATTACCAGATCTAGATAAGACTTCTCGCATCCACTCCTCTGAAAAGTTGGTCATGACATCGCGCCAGAGACGCGGGGCACCCAGGCAGATAGCTCGACACTGGTGGCATACATGCAAAATCGATATCCTTGCATCCCCGCATCTGAGTGGGACATAGTCGCGATGTATGCACGCTTTGTGTCTTGCTGCCTTTTCGCCCGAGAGCCGCCTCATGAAGATGTCGACAAGGAGCTCGGTAGGTAGACGTCTGATGGGGGTAAGCGTATTGAGTTCACGCTTTATCACCAGTACTATGCGCTTAAGATGATCTTCTATTTGCTCCTCCAGTACAATCCGAGCTTGAGCTACGCCTCCGAGCCCTGTCTGTCTATCCCAGCCGACAGGATCAACAGAGGCCCTGTAGTGTGGGTGTGAGCAATGTCAGGCTCATACCAGTGTATCAAACAACTATAGCACACCGAGATGTTCTAAACATTTCCCCTCGCGTGTCTCACTCTTTGGAAACAGGGCGGAAGGTCCCGTGCCGGGCTGGTTGAAATCGAACACTGGCGGCTGGCTTCAGAAACGTATGACTGACAACTTGAAGTAGCCTTGGGTGTATTCTAGAATATCAATCAGTACGCATGTATCTAGCAATTACATGCAATCTAACCTCTGATTCTCCTAAGTATCTCCATGTTGGCGAAGTAGGAACTTGAAGCTGCGCCGTGGGCCTGTGGCCAGGGTCGCGTCAGACGACCGATTGACCTGATAAACCCTAACTCAGCTCTACGTGGGCTGCGACCTTGCTGGGCATTTGTTCACGCTGTTTCTCCTCAGTCTATGATCCAAAATGCCACTTGAATAATATCTTCGTGCAGTATTGTGAGTCGTAAGCTACACGCAGCTGAGCCAGATGGCTCTATGAATATCTTCCATGGGTGCGCTCCACCGTTGTTAGTGCTCGGCCCGCTCGCTAGCGTCGCTGGTGCTCGGTACGTCCGCGACACAGGCTTGGCGCGCTCGCTGGCGTCGCTAGTGCTTGGCGCGTCCGCGATGCTGGGTATAATACTGCTGTGTTGAAACGTCAACCTCTCTCCCGGCCGGGCTGATTATTTTAGCCAAACTCTGCTTTTGTCACGGAAATGAGCGATTTACTGCCGCAATTCCAAGACGCGGGCTTTTTAAACATTGGGTCTACACCACTCCCCCATCACCGTAGAACTGCACCAATGCCCGCCACCAGGACTTCACGCGCTGTCAGCTTTCTTCAGCCCCCCACGATTCCCCCATGCGTCCCATTGTTGCTCAGCGAGATGGAGTTATTTCCTACGCCCTCTCGTGTAGGAGTCTTTGGCGAGAATGTGCTGATCGCTCGGCCCACCCGCCCAAGAGTCTTCGGGGTGTACGAGGTGCAAGTACCACCAGTCGTGCGACCAGCGGCCCGCTCCCGCGCCGACACTGGTAAGAAGTCACGCCTATCGTCATATGAAAAGCCCTCTGCAAAAAGGGTTTTCATCCAATAGACATCCGATGCACCGTCCCGTCAGCCGTCTCCCGATGGTACAGGGTCGACAACCTCAGCCGAAGCCGAAGTTGAAGTTGAAGCTGAAGGTGCCCCCCCATCCGTCCGAGCACCGATTCCGAAACCTTTCGGGGAGGTCGGGCGTCCGGGGCGCGGCGGTTACAACCTCGATAATTCGCTTAGGGCGATTGGCTGGTCTGCCGAGGATGTCAGCGAGTTTAAGGTATGTACTACTCTATGATTGTGTCAGCGATCGTTAATAACTCCCCGCAGACCAAGGCAAGCTTTGCGATTGAGAAGCATCTCAATATCGCCAAGAGCTATTCGAATCAATTGCCCGCCGGCCTTCAAAAAGCACGCGAGATTGTAAGTGAGCGTCATCATGTATAATACGCTATTCATAACCTTGACATGCAGATCATGGCCGACTTTCCTGACCTTTATGCTTATGAGCGTCATCGGCACATTGGGCGGTCAAATATAATGCATTATAATGCGATTTTTAGTGATTTTTGAGTTTATAATGCAAGATAACGGACCAGATCGCATTATATTGCATTTTAATGCAATATAATCTCCGTCCCTTTTTGCCGATGGTCTGTGGCCCATCGAGGACGCCATCAAGATGAAGCTCAAGTACACATCTGGCCGCGCGCGCCAGAAGAGGACTAAGGCGGCTGATTACATCGTAAGACTGCTCGCAAATCTATGATCATAGACTGACCGTTTTGCCTTTCAGCCTGTGTAGCATTCATCAGTCGTTTCATCGTTTCACCGCTGTAGTGACTACTAGACATGTATTTGTATGAAAGCGCGCCACTCGTTTATTCCAGCAACTCAGCACGGCCCAGGTGTCTTGTGTGTCCGCATGCTCGCTTAAACAATTAGCAAG